TCTATGGGCAGCGGTCGCTTCGCCCTTTTGGCGGATTCAGGTGGCCGCTTGCTTGTTTGCCACCTTATTTTATATTATTGTTTACATTTGTCAAATTATCAAAAACAAATGTCAAAATGACATGATATGATGACAACCTTGCTTCCTTGATGTTGGCAGCAACTAATGGTCTCTTTCCCACATTAGCATAAATATACCTGAAATGCCAGGAGGTGCTGCCGGTGCCGGTGGTGACGCACAGTCCCGAGCTCTTGGTGTGCGTCCACTGGCCGTTGTCGATCTGCAGCCGCAGCAGCGACACGCGCGACGTCACGCTCTCGCCTATGAACACCTGCGGCAGTGCGAAAGAGAACACTATATTTATAGCAACTTCAACTTCAACTTCAACTTCTATACAGATATACTGTGGAAATGCAAAACGTGTCATGAAAGCTTTTATGGACTAAATTATTATTTAATGAAAAGTAATTCGGTTTTTACTTCTTTTTGACAAATTAAAAAAAAATAGGAAATTTATATTGAATTGTTTCAAACATTGTTATTTTATATACATATTCGTTATAAAAGAGACAAGAAAAATAAGATATTTAGATATAAAAAAATAGAAACAGAAATTATAAAAAACGATCGAAGCAGAGCAGTATTTCCATATTTTTAATTCTATATTTTTACCTCATTAAGTGCTAGGAAGGGTAACACTTTAGTAGATAAAGTGGGACTATTAACAGCTGTGACGTCATGATCCCTCGTTTGTGCGTCTTGATTTTCGTGGATGTTCGACATCGGTGGATATCTACAACAAAAAAGGTTCAAATGTATAGATATCTGCTTTGTACAATTACAATAAAATGGTAGATACAACTCTTTGGTTCGTTCTTCGATTAATAATAAATTTATAACAGGATCTGGGTAATATAAACAGTAAATAGTTGTAGAGTAGTCTGTAGTTGTACTGACCTGCAGTACTGCAACGTGTGAAGGTCAACCGGCGTGATTGTGTCCAACACTTTGGCCTCGCAGGTGATAGTTGTGCGTATCCTGGAGCGACGCATCCATCTGAACCTGCCCTAAACACGCACAATTTTCATGTTATTTAAAGAAACAGGAAATAGGGGGTCTATCACGAATATTTACGTGAGTTGCGATAATGTATTCATTGGGACAAATCTAATACAAGTTTTATTATGACGTTACGAAAACTTTCTCACGGATATTCCATAGGTTTATTGATTGAGCCTCTCCATGAACGACGTTATTGTTAAAAGTTACCCCTTAGTTTTTTTTTTATAACATAAGGTGGCAAACGAGCAAGCGGCCACCTGAATCCACCGAAATGGAAAGCGACCGCTGCCCATAAACATCCGCAATTGCAGATGCGTTGCCTACCCTTCATTGACGGAGGAAGAGACGCACATAAAGAGGACATTTCCCCTTCCTATGCGTCTCCTTCACCGGCACCACACTCATCAAACAAAACGCGGAATTGCTTCCACTTCACGCCTTTTTTCTGTATGGTCGTGGTATTGCTGGGGGCGAGTCGGCCCATTCGTGCAAAGATGTTAAAGCGGGCTCTACCACTTTTAAAAGTGCCTTAGTGTAGACTTAGTATGAGAAATCAACACTTATGTGTACTCTGAATGTGTCAAAAGCGTCACGAACTCTTTAATTGTACTGATAACAATACACGTGTAAGATATATCTACACTTGCGTTATAAGTCGTGAGAATTTAAAAACAGTAGCACGTTCAAATTGCTTTAATTTTCCAAGCTTAAAATAACAGACTTTATATATGACACTAACTAATATTATAAATGCGAAAGTTTAGATGGATGGATGGATGGATATTTGTTAGCGTTTGTAGCCTAAACGGCTAAACGGATTGCCATGAAAATTGGCACAGGTTTAGAGCATAGTCTGGAAAAACACATAGACTAATTTTTATCCCTGGAATAGTTACGGTTCCCGTGGGATTCATTAATTTAATTTTTTAATGTTTACTCGATCATTCTGCAACGGTTCAACATATCTTATTGAAATTCGGCACAGATATAAAACAAAGTCTGGAGTACACATGGGATAAGCTTCATCTCCGAGAAATGTCCGGTTCCCAGGATACGTAGCTTTTTGTAATTTGTATAGTTTGTATGTTTTCTAATACCAAGCGTACGAAGTTGCGGGAAACAGCTCGTATGACATAAAATACGAAATAAAATAAAATACAAATTTAAAGTCCGTTAAAAATATCAACAATTAAAAACACTATGCAAATATTTTTAAAAAATTAATTGTAATCAACTTAAACTTGTTTTTTTTAATTAATTGAGATATTTACCTCTTTCAAAGCTTGCAGCGCACCTTTCACGTCGTTCGAGCACCAGGTGGGCAAGCAGAGACGACCCACTGACTTGTGCGGGAAGCTGTTGAAGCCAATCACTGGCTTGCTGAAAATAATGCATAGAATAGAGTTATTCAACAAATGACAATTTTACCAAATTAGTAGTAACTTTTTTGTTCTAAGAAACGATATATCGATCAACGCAACGGTTGACTACACACAATCTTCAAATTTCTTCACAGTATTTGCGAGTGATGTAATCACGAAATTTTCCTACAAGTAGTAACAAGCCTGACATTTTTTTTTAATACATCTTACTTAATATTATAAATGCGAAAGTTTAGATAGATAGATAAATGGATGTTTATCAGAGTTGGTAGCCTAAACGGCTGAATAGATCTCAATTAAATTTGGTAGAGATAGAAGAATCTGGAAGAACACATAGGCTACTCGCTTCTATTTTTAAGTGCACGCGGACGTAGTCGCGGGCGCGGCTAGTTGTGTTATAAAACTTACTTAGCATCTCTAACTCTGGAAGCAGCTAGCAGGAAGGTGCCATCTCCTCCACAAGGCACGACAACATCGCACCAGTTAATTAACTCATCGTTGTATGTCAACCTGTTGATAAAATTGGAATATAAAACTATTGTCTTATAAATGTTAGCAACTATGGTAAACTGTGGTTGTGCTGTGGTCTTCTGTTGTGTGTTGTTGTTGTTATGTGTTGAACGATGTTGTATTACGTGCTCTAATGCATTATGTTGTATTTTGTTGTAACAATTTGACTTTGGTGTGTTGTGTTATTTTACGTTGTGTGGTTTTAAAAGATCAACTAGAGTAATGCAAATCTGGAATTTGATATACTAGAATGTTTGAAAAATGCCTTAAATTTGTATTTCATATACATAAACTATAAGATAATGTGGGGTCTTTGTTATAACATGTTACAAGATAGTAAATTTAAAAATACAAGTTATACATTTTTGTTTACTTTGGACGATCATAAGATTCTAGAAACATGCGGATTTTTTACGCTTATCAGCTATTTTTACATACATTTTTATTCGTACTTGGCAATGTTATACAAACATTATGACATTTAAACTTTAAATATAAATAGAATCGATTAAGGACGAAAACAATTTTAATCAGTTAGATATGATTCAAGGGGGGCTTGAAACGTGTGCAGATAACCTTGGAAAGATAGTTTTATCAAAACAACCGTTTAAGTATTTAATAACGACATTCGGTGTAGAACGTTATCACTGTTCACAGACCACGAAATTATTGTGCGACCTCTGACGGTCAAGTGGGGGCAAGAGAACATCCACGGCAAATCATTTATGAATACAAATTTATTAAAATATATTGCACATTCAACAGCAGCATTGGTTAACGAATATCTGAACAGAGGTTTTTGCGAAAGAAATATACAAAAATCTACACTATGACTGTATATTAGAAACAAAGCTTCTAAAGGATATATACGTCATTTGCCTCCACCAATAGCGTTGCGTTTTACAGCTGGCGAGGGAATTTAAAAACAGATGATTTTAATTTCTGCACTAAATAGAAATACATTCCAAAAAATTATAAATATTATTTTTCTAATAATAAACTATACAAAAAATGTCCAATTTGATGTCATGATCATATTACCTATTGACCACTATTTTAAAATATAACTGAAAAAAAATATAATTTTCAATTACCTGCTGGCCATTTCAACTTGATGTCCCATTTCCCGCAATCGTTTCGCCACATTTTCCTCAAAAGCTTTTTGTTCCTTGTGGTTGGCCAACATCGAGTCAACATCTGATCCCCGCTTCCTGAGTACCTTAACCAATTCATCGTCAGATATGTAATCATGACTGTGTCTGGAACAAATAATACACAGTTTTAGTACAATTAAATTAAAGTTATAAAAGGAGAGTTAGAATAAAAGCGGGTACACCTTTGACTAAATTATTGCAAAACTGTTGTGCGATTGTCGATTGTTTCGCAGATAATTCAACTATTTAGTTGCACAATTAAAATTCGAGTAATATGCGCACCTCCATATTAGCTCGTAGGAATCAAAGCGCGACTAAACAGTTGCAATAGTTTAGTCAAAGGTTGTCTTTAAGAAGTAAGAAGCATTAGACCTCAGTTATTTAGCAATTGGAAATGCAGTAGAACCTCGATAAGGAGCCATAAACAAGAAATAGAAGAGAAATAACATCGATAAGTCAAAGTCCAAGGGAAACACAAAACATTTCAAGCTATAGAGGTTTTAAATTATCAAGGTTTTATGTTATAGAGGTTTTGGGGTCTGATAGGAAGGGAACATATTATTTTTTGAAGTGATAGAGGTTTTTAAGTTGTCATTAATTTGTATTCGGAGAATTCAAGCTATCCTAAGTCTTAGAATCCAGAATATTCACAACAATCTTCCGTCAAAGAGTCCTATACGGGATCGATTGAATGGATTGATCAAAATAACCCTAACGAGCCTCCAGTACCCTACATAAAGGACATTGTCCTACGACGAATTACGTTATTGCAATGAAGTATTCGGTGATAAAAAAAGAGATAAGATATCGCTGGATTAACATTTAATAGCATGAAAGGCACTTTCAAAAGACACGTAATTTTTTATTTAGTGCAATGATAATGTTGCTATTTGTGCGTTTTTAATGCGTAAATAGTAAAGAAGAATACATAGATTTACTAAATAAGAAAATTATAATATAGAATGTTTACAAGATCCATGTACTTAATACGATATTAACAGATCGATTAGTAATTAATCGATGTTTGTTTTTCATACTAATCTGACCTCATAATGTTGTTATGATGGGTATTCCCATATTCAATTTTATTATAATTTCTTTATCAAACAATATCCTACTATGGACGGAAACACACATAAGCAACTTTTTTACAAAAAAATTTTGTTGTCATTTCATAAAAAATAAGGGACATGTAAATAATGAAGAAAACTAAAGGTTTAAATTTTTCGCATAACATAAACAAGGCCCATTATATACTAGTTTCAGCGACGACTCCGTCCGCGTAGAATTGAAATAAAAACAAAAGAAAGTAGCCTATGTGTTCAGCCTCTGCCTCTGTGCTTAGTTTCATCAATATCCGTTCAGCAGTTTAAGTTAAAAACTTTTACAAACGTCCATCGAATTATCTAAACATTGTCACTTATTATATTAGTAAGAAGATATTACCGGTAATCATTCTACTTGACAAAGCGATATCCCCTTTTTACTTATACTTAATACTAAGTTATTACTTTTAAATCTTAAGTTTCAATATTAATATACCTTTCGTACTCGTATCGTGTCACCTTGGACACAATAAGGCATTTGTCCATCTTAAGTTGTGTGTTACCATCTTTGGAGCCATGACGTCGAGTAGACGAACCCGGCAGTAAGCGATCACTTAATTCTTTATTCTGTCGAAGACCTGAAAATAGCAAAAAAAACTTTCATACATAAAGCATAATAAACATGGTGTGTTAAATTTCAAATGTAGAACATTCCAGAGACATTTCCACATTTAAAGAACATTATTGTCAACTTAGTTTTTTCAAAGAGATGCTGATAATGACAATAATACGGAAGTAATAAAAGCGTAATTAACCGATTTCCAAAAGAGGTTTTTCTCAATTCGTGATAGTTTTCTTTTTTATTGTCTGTTTTATGGATAAGCGGACTGGAACAAAACTAAAGCATAACTGCTTAGCCTCGCTTTGATTCCTATAGCTTATATGGACGTGCGCACACTATTCGATTTTTAGATACGCAACTAAACAATTTAATTTTGTGAAAACAATTGACAATCGCATAACAGTTGTGCGATAGTTTAGTCAAAGGTGTGCGCCCACTCTTAGTATGATTTTTGTCCTGAATAACGTTTTTTCATATTGTCACCCTATTGAGGCGGCGCCAGTCGCATATGTGAAGTGTTATCTATTTACTGTCTATGTGTGACGACGGATTCAGTATATGCTTCAGTGCATAAGCCAATAATAAGTACATAAACTACCAGACAGACAAACATGAGATATAATTTGACATAAGTGTGTTATTTTTATATTTGAACCAAATTGTGGTAAAACTTTATTTTCTTTAAGATTTACAAAATAAACTTAATGAAATTTTGTTAAAGGTACATATAATTCATTGTAAAAAGTTATCATTCGTTTTTTAGTTTCAATAAATTAAAGTTTTTATACACTTTTCAAATTGAATTGAAAAAAAAAGTTTTTATACACTTTTCAAATTGAATTGAAAAAAAAACTGTCCCTATATTATTACCCACACGAAACGTACATATTACGTAATTCCAACATAAAAGATGCGCATTTTTCTCGAACTACTGCGTCATAAAATGATAATGAAACATGATATTAGAAATGGGTCAAGCAAGTAAAAACATATTCTAGACTAATCTACGCAGTGATAAATATTCGTGTTTTATCACATTGGCATTTTTATAACACTGGTTTAATTAGATATACTCAAAGTAGATGATAGTGTATTTAGAGGTACAATGGCATTATAAAATAGGACTCCACTAGAACTAATACAGAATGCAGGTAAACTGTTAAATGGTACATAGAAGAAAAGGGATTCTTTCTTTCTTTCTTCTTTCTATCTCCTGCCTATCAAGTTATCTCCCCTTCCCATCCTAACCTTAGTAAAAATGGATGGGACAGAACATTATATTGTACATTGCATCTAGGTGACATTCCTACTAGGGTATCCATAAAAGTTTTAATAAAGGGAATTACTTGATAATCAAATTCAGAAAACCTTCACTGCATCATGCATATTAATTCAATAAATCACGCGACAAACATACATACTAAAACAACATACTAAAACACGTGTAAAATTATATTATCCAATTGCCAGTTCTATTATATATCTGTTATCGAATTATTCTACTAATTATACAACATATTGATAAAGCCATTCATAATTTTAATAATTTTTATTTCAAGGTTACCATTGAATTGATAAAATTATATCATCTAATAAAAAAATTATATTATAAATACTACAGTTTAGATGGATGGATGTTTGTTAGACTTTGTAGCCTTAGCGGCTCAACGATTATCGATGAAATTTGGTATAGACATGGAGGTTAGTCTGGATACACCTAGGCTACTCTCATTTTTTTAATTACACTCGTTTGGAGTCGCGGGCGAAAGCTAGTAATTCATAAATATAGGAAGTGTTGAACCATATGACGTAAACAGCAATTCGATAACAAAACTACGTTCAAGTACATCATTCATAATTAACTTTTATCTAAAGCTCACGCTAACGTGACAACGAATTCGCAAATCATAGATATGTAAAAACGCAATACGTATTTACCGACAAAAAACTGACCCAATGGTATGTGAATAATATTAAACAAGATAGCAGTCACAAGTAGAATTTTTCCACTGATATTTATTACAATCCAAATATAGAATGGTCTGGTAAAAAGTAGTTCTCGGATTATGCACAAGGGCCAGAGTGTATCTGGTAAATAACGCAATACCACACTCGGGTGGAGTGGAATTTTATTGACAAATATTGACGCTCGGTAAATGTCATACTAAAGATACAGCAAGCATGGGCGCTTTTATAACGCGCGTTAAAAAAGCGTTGAAAACATTACAATAAAAATATTCTAGAGAACTATTCTACAGAAAGATAGAGTCCTAATTTATTTTTTGTAGCTTCAATTGCTATAATAAGGTATGTTTTTCTCCAATATTGGGTTTCCAGTTAAATAGAACTTGTTTAAAAAATAACTGTTGCCCCTTTCATATTCTTTGAACAATTAGATAACAATGTTTGTAATTAGTTTCAGCAGTGAAAATCCAGTCTAAAGAAATGGCCAATGAACAGGAAAACAGTCTGACACTATCTTTTTGATTTAATTAAGAGAAACACATCACATTTGCACCAAACATCTCCAATTAATTGTAATTTGATTAGATTATAAAACAAATTTATATAACGCTAATTATTTGTTTGAGGTTAAAGGAACAGATCTATTCAACGGAAACAAGATTTAACTGGTTCACCACGAGTTAGGCAACATTTACAAATGATGCATCTATTATTAAATATTATATATTAAATTGATATCAACATATAATCATACTTGAACATAAACAAGCAATTTCAAATTGTTTACTTTTCTTAACACATTCAATGCTACATGCTTTGTGAATTCACATAAATGATTAAATAATTTTACACAAAAACCTTTAGGCTGCTTACAAAGAAGTGTGTTTTCCTAACATTATTGACAAACAAGCAAACATCCCATACGCATATTCAATATCATAGTCTTGCCTACCTTTCATCATCATCTACCTCCTTATTCTACTCCAGTAGGGTCGGCGCAACGGGTTTCTCTCCTCCACATAACTCTATCATACATCATTCTTAATCATGTCTCCTTTCACACATTCCATCTATCTCTTCCTATTATGATATATTTCTTCTTTATATTAGTATAGATGATTTTTGAAGTACATAAATGCTGCTGGTATCTAAAGTGAAAGGTGCAACTATATTAGAGTTATGACCCAAGTTTATAACAGGTCATTAAAATGTTATTGTGTGATTTTATAAAATTACTAGCTGTTCCCGTGTGACTTCATCCGCATGAAATTATGAAAATTTTATTTTATTGTTTACATTTGTCAAATTATTAATTACAAATGTCAAAATGACATGACATGATGACAACCTTGCTTCCTTGATGCTGGCAGTAACTTATGGTCTCTTTCCCACATTAAGCTTTTTATCCATAATATTTTCCCCCCAAGTTTAATGGCGTTAAAATATATAACCTAAAGTGTGACGCAAGTGTAGGGCTTTTTATTAAATAAAGAATTATTCAAAAACATGCTGTAATTGCTGCCATGTTAGGCAACAAAGAAGTGTGTGTTTACGCTTTATTATAATAGTATAGAAGTATAGATATAGATTATAACTAGTGATTATTCTTTATGTAAAAGTACCAATGCATTTCCACCATTTAAAAACATGACATACATATAAAGAATGTTTATTGAATGTTATTGCTGTAAGTCTGATAAATATAAGTGTTATTGAGAATATTATTCGTTATGAATTGACTTGTTTACATTTATAAATAACTTATATATTTGCTCTGTCTGGAATACCGGTTACCAAGATTGGTAAGTAAGGGAAGATTTTTCGATGAAAAGTTAATTTAAATAATATATATTTTTTTATTAATAACTATGGCAAATATTGTAGTTTTTAAATTATTTTATGTTACATAAAAAGTTCCCTATTTAATGAGGTAAATAAATAATTTGTAGAGTACGAACTTTTGGAGTTTTATTCAATATTGTAATTTTTTCAAGGTGGTCTCAAACTTTTGGCATTTTATAAATGCTGAATGTCATAATTGAATGTTCACAGAGGAAACAACACTAAATGACTAATAGTTACCTAATTCTGTTAGTGTATGTGATGATTGACTAAATTTCAATAGACATCATTTTGACATGACATTATTTTTATATGAATGACAATATATTAGGTTAATGCTGTGAATTTTAAGATGGATGTGCGGGGTAACACAAATAGATAAGATAAAAAAATGGGTACATTATTGAAAGTAGCCCCAGTGGTAGAGAAAGTAAACTGTAAAAGGTTAGCATGGTATGGGCTTGTTATGAGGAGGGATGAATTGCATGTAACAAGGATATTAATTATGAGTATGGAAGTATACACTGGTAGAGGTAGACCTAGAAAGAGGTGGATGGATTGCATGAAAAGTGACATGATCAAGTGAGTGATGACTGAGATGACATATGATAGTTATGTGGAGAACAAAAATCTGTTGTGCCGACCCTACAGGAGTAGGATAAGGAGGCAATTGATGAAGCTAAGAGTTAAGTGAAAGGGAGATAAAGTGAGTGATATAGTGTGAGAGGAAAGAGTTTAAAATTAAGGTGTTGAAATATAAATATGAATGTTTTTCAACTAAGTTAGTAATAACCATTTCAATGTCTTCTATCTATTATCAATACAGGGTAAACAAAACATGTTATTTACAACCATATGTTTCCACTGTCTAAAAGCATTATTATCTTACAAAAACATTGTTATCTTTGTTTTTTCAAAAAACTTTAAGTGAGAGTATTTATATTTACAATGGAAAATCACAGTAATTTCAAGGTGGTTTGTATTCTATCATAAAAATAATAAAGACTAGTTAACAAGGAAGCCCATACATTATTATTAAAATAATAATAGGTTACTATTCCAGTCATTTAACATAAAACTGTTGACATTCAATATACATAAACAAAGTAAATAATGAGGAAATGCACTGAAGGCCGTGAGAATGAAAACATTTACTCATTGATATGAACTTGGTACTATGTGAATGTCACTTCTATTTCATTTAATTATCTTTAGATTTCTAATATGTAATGGTTATTTATACACCCGTAAGTAGTTTAAAATTATATAGATATAGAAAAATACACATAAAAACTTCATTTTTTGACCAAAAACCAAAACAAACTTATTCTTATTTTATCGATCTCTTATTAAAATAGGTTTAATCAAATAGGATTTGGAGATGAAGTTATTACATTTTAAATCTTTAAATATTAAATTGAATGAAATTGATACTCACGACGTAGTCCTTTTGCTATTGACACAGAGAAGTTATTTAATACTGACATTATGCACAATTATTAACTTGATTATGAAAGTCCACAAAAATTCCTTTACTCGCTTATCACTAAAAAAAGACGTATGCTATCGACAACGATTTAAAGCGCACTGAAGCTAACACACTATTTATCAACAACAGCGGGCGTGGCGATTTCGTGCAATCTTATATATTCGATGTGTAATTAAAAATGATAACCTATCTATTATTGATATAAAGTTTACATATGAATATGAAATACTCGATCGCGAACTCAAACTTTCAACAATTTGTGCCAATTTTGGTCAAACTTGTCAACTTGACTGTCACAGATTATTATAAAATAGAAATACCAGACCAATACCAGACAATAAAATATCAATGTAGATTATATAACTAGCTTTTTTGAGCTTTCGTTTTAAAAGGTGTAGTTCTTATTTTACCCGCCCGGCGCTAGCATTTATCTTATTCGGTAAATCTAGCACATTAGTCAAGTGCATGGATACTGGCACCAGTTTAGTTAATTGTTTTAACAGGAGGGGTTAAATAAAAGTCTAATAAACTGGGTACTTATAATATTCATGTTATAAAACAGCTAAAACACGATACAAGCAATAATAAATAACAAATTCAACAACTTCCTGTCACTTTATTTACAAACCTAGATAATTTGTAGTACAGATTAAGTAATTTACGGAGACGTTTTGTCACGGATTCCCATCCAATACCATGCTGATCAGAATATACATTTTATGTGCCAAATGTTTAAACAAATCATAAACATATTACAAAGAAACCAAAACCTCTCGTCAACAAAAACAAACTCTACCATCCTTTATGATGTTCCCTTCTATGTACCGCAAACGGCACTAAATTGATAATTGAATCAGTTCTATGTTAGACCAAAACTATTACTACCTTGAAATTATTTTATTTCTAGCTCTCTATTAAAAAAACGTCTGAAATCAGTATTGCCTTATACATTAAAAGAAAAATGTTTAAATACATTTGTTATAATTACTAGTCTCGTAAATTGACTGCTTTTAATTTAAAATTAAGTAATATTGCAAAAGTATAATAGCAAGCATCCTTAATTTAAATCCTTAGTAAGAAACAGTACCAAATTGTATTCACAATAATTCAAATAAATCACCAAGGGTTTTCCTCAGCAAGTCAAGCAATATTGTCACAAGTCACAAAAAATATCAAAGATGAAGCAGTGACAGAAGTGCTCTGAATAAAAGTTTGTATGTCTTTTAAAAACCTGTCTAATATACGAATTCTGAAACAGATTGGGTGAAAATAAAATTAAATCCCTCATTTCTTGACTTTCAACCTTATCACCATATTTTAGGACTATTTATTATCTTTTCGACAATCCTAATTACCATCGCTAATCATCTAAAAATCTAAAAAGCAACTTTATTTCGAATTATTTAATAATTGAGACACTTTCATTTGTACATTTTTCCATTAACAATTCTGAACAACCCCAAAACCGACAGTCACAGTCACCCATTTTTTTATTATTTCCAAGCTTTAATGGTCCAAATAAATCAACAAATGACTAGATAAAGCATTTGAGTATATTTGCTTCGATATAAATAAATAAGGGAAATTTTGTTTTACATTTTTACATTTAGAAATACACGCATATATAAAATGAATATACTCAAAATAATTGTTGTTATAACATCACTAATATTTAACGAAACATAATAAAAGCAATTGGGAGCAAAGTATCTGCCTTTTTTAACATGATTTTTAAATTAAAATAATAATAAAATTAACAATTTTAAACCGATTTAAATTTAATGCTTCATTTTAGTTCAGCTTAATTCAATGTTCAAAATCAGATTCAGACATAGACAGATATGGAGTAGCTAAAAAACAAGACACACCAAAAGGAATTTCTAACTCTTGTAACACTCCAAAAAACAAGAGAATCGACAAATTTAAACTACTCCATACATTTCTTGTCTTTAGTTACGTAAACTCCAAAATCCGTCCTTTAGTTTGGAAAAGAATAGCATGATCTATTAAGTAGCATACCAAATATACAAATAAAAACATGCAAAAAAAAACATACATTTACTATGAATACAATCTAAATTAAATCTACTTTAAGATTCAAATTAATAACTTAAGAAAGATTTTAATATATAACCGTGGGCAAACTACACTGTGTTAACTAGCATCATATCAACACAAGAGTATGCTATAATAAATAGAGTAGAGTACATATTTTATCAGAATTCTAACAGAGCAAAAACGCCTTTCACAACTTTTATTGGATTTTCTTTCTGATTTATGGTTTTTAAATGTATTTACTACAATCACTATTACAATATTTACTATAGTTTCTAATCAAAGTATTAAAATCTTATTGTAAACATGAATTGTCAATAAATCCGAGATGGTCGATGTTAAAAAAAAAGTTCAGCAAACAAAAATTTGCTGATAAATTTTTCACAATTATCAAGATAACTAAGATCTTTAACAAATATTTTATAATTTTTGTATTTAGTTGTTAGTTTTTATATTATTGCTTAATGTCGATATGAAAGAATATCGATATAATATTCGATTACAATGCACCATCGACCATCCCTAATGAATATTCAAGATGGCGGTGTTTATCACAACTGTCATCGCGGAAAAGTTTGTAAGGCACATAATTTACTTTTGCAATCATCAAAATGTGTAGGTATATTTAATTCAATCATCGCACCATATTCTAATATTATTAATTTAAGCGTATATATCAACTATTTATTTTGTTAAGACATAAAAAGTTTCAAAAATTTGCTATAACATGTTTTCCTCGAGATAAGATTTATAACATATTGTAAAATTAGTAAACGAAAACCAAAAGTCTAATTTTGGACTATTTACGGCTACACAATTTACAATACTATATTTTAACAAGATTTCGAAATTATACAAGTTAACGAATTTACGACATTTTTGTAAAAATTATAGCAAAATTATTATGGACCATAACAAAACTTCTAAAAAAGTATCTGGAATGAATTATAAACAACCAATCTATTTTTGAAACTTATTCAAGCAAACTAGCCAGTAAGCAGTTGCAATCGTCTGATATCGATATTTATAAAGGGCACTGTAAACGGTCAAATTCTAAATGTTTGTATTTTTGTATGACACATTTGAAGAAAAGCTACATCAAACAAATTCGTCAAACACATTTGAACGTTTACAGAACCTTTATCATTGAATCGTCATAAAATCGATGAAATAAATGTTTTTTCATAAATAATAGACATTTTAGTTAAATAGTGTAGTTCCATGTAGTTCTCCGGCGCCGCTCGGTTGCCGAGGGGAGGGACCACGAGGGGAAAGGAAATGGATGAATTGACAAAAGCTCAGTCTTCTTTCTTCTCAGTAGGGGATTTCGGTTCTTCTTCTTCCGAAGAAGGGGGTCGTTCTATTTCGCATTCAGATACTGAAAAAAAATCATTACTTAGTCTCACGTTTTACAAATATGTATATGAAATCTTACTACTATTATAAGTTTCTTTTGTTTTTTTTTTTTAGTTTCAAGGACGGAGTCGCGTGCGAAAGGTAGTAAACATTCGTAAAAACATTATTTTATGTATGACTATAATTACCGTCCATATTTTCAGGATTCAATATATTATTTCTTCTTTCTTCCTCACTATCGCTTGTGTTACTATCAGCTGATGAATCGTCGCCGGAATCTGCAATAAAAAAAAAAACATTATTTATAATCTATGCATTAAATGATTCTGCCCAACCCCAGGGGATTTAAAACTGTAAAATACATATAAAACCATCCAAGATAAAGATAGATATAGAATAATTGGGTTTCAGGAACATTCTATAAAATAGTTAGGATATCTTCTATTGGCAACATCAACAAACATATAGCAATTTTTTGTTTTGTCATGTTCATCTTTATTTTACCGGTATTATGGGATTATTCCCAACCGTCACCCCGCTCTGTCCCTACGTGAGAATAAAAGGTTTCATCCGTCCCACCTTTGAGTCCCACTATCACCAATAAGGTGACATATGGAACCATTATCAAATAAAATAAGTTCCAACCGTCCCCTCGTCGCAAATGGTAGGACATATAAAACTTTTTGTTCCCATCTGTCTCCACATGGGGACTGAGCGGGGTGACGGTTGGGAATAATCCGGAATATGCAACTTCACAAACAAGAGAGCTAAATAACTCCCCATAGACTCAAAAAAAATAGCTAAGCTGTACATATAAAAATAAACAAACGGGGCTATAAGACATATGAATGGTATGTCTCTAGATGCAGTATACTTACTGGTGATGACGTTGGAGATGGGCAGCAGCGGGCGCGCGGGGCGCAGCGGCGGCGCGGCGGGCCGCTGCTTGCGCGCGGGGTTCAGCCGGCCGCAGTACGCGCACGAGTACGACACGTACTCGAACTCCTCCACCATCGCCATACCTACATACATACACACATGTTTCTTTGGCACATGTCAATTTAATTAATTAAAATGATTTGGTTTATTTTATAACAAAAGATGAAGCTTATCATGATTTTGTAAAATATTTTATAACATGAGATGATAGATAAATTTGACAACTAACATAGCACCTTTCAAAGAAGTTACCGATGAAAAAATGTTGTTCACTATCTCTAGGCTATATATTTCTTAAATTTCTTTGATCACAAATATAATAGCATAAACTCACTTCTTAGATATATAGGATGTCAGAAACCACTGTACATTTTTAATATACTATTTTTTTAATAAAAAAAAAGCCCTACACTAACGACATACTACACTATATATTTTTTGACTCTATCGCATAGGGGTAAATGAATTGGAAAAAGCTATCAAGATGGAAAGGGACAATAAATACAATTCCAATAGCAGCAAAACAACAAGGTTGCCATGGTTACTTATAAACAATTCTCAGCCAACATCAAGATTCACTGTTGTCATTGAAATTTCACATTTGCAAAAGAAAATTTTACAAATGTAATGAAATAGATCACATAATGTCATACAGATGAAAACGCACGGGAACAGCTAGTATATATTTCGCATATTTTACACAACAATAAAATTAACCAACCGTTATGGGAGAAACATTCCGAACATATAAGCGCCATGCGGTGATTGGGTCCGTCCTTCATCAAATAATCTATCACTTTGTCTAAAGTCGATCTGTTTCTATCCAACAAGGGCCGAGGAAGTTGATTTGACTGCAAAAGAAAATAAAAAAGTCATACACACATGAAATAGACAAATAGCATGTACAAATATTCTTTAAGAAACAGTTCCTTACTTATCCTAAATTATAAACTGATAGATTAAAACATTACATTTGATGCGATTTTTTACTCTTTAGAAGTGGATGAAGATTATTTATTACAGTGTCCAATATCACTAGTCAAAACCAGTCTTAAACCATAATCGGAAAACTACAAAATTGACAACTAAAATTATCTCGGGAGCAGCCCTTTACTGGCATAGACTGTGCCCGCTGGCGCCAGTTGCACTTTTGACAACTGGCCTACTATACTTATATTATAAAGAGGAAAGATTTGTACTTTGAACTTTTATATGTATTCATTCAACTAAAATCTACTGGACCGATTTCATAAATTCTTTTATTGTTTTTATTATTTTTTATGACTGACATTTTTTATTATTTTTTAAAATTTCATGTGGTTAACCCAACTGGTTGTCTTAAGACAACATTCAGAGTAAATAATCAACATACTCGAAGTCTTGGTCCTTTGTATAATGCAGTGGTCGTGTTGTTCATGGGCACCAAATTCATGTTACGGTTCACGGGTGTAGATGTCTGCAACGCCAACTGCTTCTGTCGGAATGGCACTGGTGTTGCTGGAAATATACAGAAAATAGTCAATTCTCATATTGTCTACACTAAATATTATAACGATACGAGAGTTGATGTTGACGTACATTTGTCTCCTTTTACACTAATATTTTAAGGAAAGATTTGTGTTTTTTTTAAACAAATAAACTTAAAAAACTACTGGAATAATTACAAAAATAATTGTGCTATTAAATAGCTAAATTATCACTAAGCCCTATGTTAGTATATTTATTTTATTCCGAGCTATGTCGCGGGAAAAGGTAGTCTCTTACAAAAATATTCTATAATTTCGCTTAATTATCAAGATATCAAAATGGAAACTATTTTCTATTGGTAAAAAAAAATAAGTAAGATAATTTTGAGCTCTAAGTGGCACCATTAAGGTTGAAAATCGTATTCATTGACAAAAGTTATGTGGGACATATAGCTAACAATCAATGAAGAGCATATACGGGGTTGGCCATGACAGAGACAAAACTATTCGACTATATTACGAATTTGTTCATACTATTCATAGACAATTGTACATAGACATGAATAATAAGAACACTATGTAAGGGGAATTCCCGTTACGATTACGACAAAACATATGACAATGCTTACTGGAGCAATTTATCTGAACGTGTACCATGAGCAGTAATATTTATGACGTATTCTAGAACTATAAATAGATCCTAACATAGTTATTGTAATAATAAATAATCAGTTTTGTTAACATTTCATTTTTGTTAAGATTATTACTAAATTTGTTTAAATTCAACCATATTACACTTATCCTTGTATTTGGAGTATAGAAATCTTTTTTATTTATATAAAATCGTATATCAAATTAATTTATAAGGTTTGGGTCGTTTAAAAAATCAAAATTATTTCAATACATTTATTTAAAAGTAAAAAACAAATTAATTAAAATTAGGACAAAATTGCATGCAATTATTCTAATTAAATAATCTCATTAAACTAAAGTTTAAAAAATCTTTATTAAAAACATTTAATTTTAAAATACTTTAATTTATGTAACATTTTTATTGTACTTCAAGATTAAAATTATTAGTTTACAAGTAATGGTTTAATATATTTTTTATTACATTTTACTGATTCAAAACATAATTATTATAGTACATAACAAATTCATTACCCAAAGAATGTAAAAAGGCCTAAATTACTAAATAAATAACATTGCATTTTTATTCAATTTAATATCACATAAATAATCTTCCTAATGAACGTAAGACACTAGTAAACGTGTGTAAATCAGTTCTGAACCGGTCAACAGATCCGTTGAGCTATGGATCAATTAGCAGCTCACGACTCAACTTGATGTCTAACTGGGAGTTGATGAGCCGCGAACTGACTGGTGATTCGAAACACAAGAAAATTAAACCTCTATACAGGTTTGAGCTGATCTGTGAACCGATTCACTGATCTGCTTCACCTCTGCGAGTGAACTGATCCGCAGTTTTAGTTGAGTAACCCATGTCTATATAGCGAACGAAATAACCATCCTTGCGATCATTTAGTTTTCAAGCAACATGATGATAATCTATACGTGTTTTTCTGTAAGGTTTAAAAATGATATCGTACCAACTTGTAACTGATCTACCTGGTGCGGAATTAGGTGCGTTGTTCACGTTGTTTGGTGACGTTATAGCCGGCAGTAAAGGTTTGAGGGCGTTCGATTGCTCCTCCGGACCACCGTATTTGTCAAGAATCTCTTTAGCAACCTGCAATGGAATGAAAATGCTTATTTTAATCGCGTAGAGCAATTGTGCCAATATTTCTAACTAGCTTTCACCCGCGACGGAATTTAAAAAAAAACAGTAAGTAGCGTATGTCTTCTTCCAGACTATCCTCTACATTTCCAAATTTCATTAAGATCCGTTCAGCAGTTTAGACCTCAATTTCTAACATACATCCATCCACACAGACCTTCGAATATTAGTAAGCAGTGAAACTTACAAGAATGTTTTTTTTTTTCTTTTTAAATCATTACATGTAGATTTAAACTACTGATAAAGTTATTTCTTTCAGTGAACAAATAATCGTTTATTACTTATTGTTCTTTGGCTATAGTATGGAAAAATTGTATCACAAGTTTTGCGATAGATTACTCTCACAATTTCGCAAATACTATTGAAAATACAAGTAATATAGATTACAAATACACATTAAAGTTACCTTATATGTTTCAGTATTCATAACTTCTTCTAGAATCTTCTTCTTTTCTTCTCTCATCGTCTTTAGTTTAATTTTATTCTTGTTCAATGACCATGTGTAATACCACGATATCGTAGCGCGAATGAAAAATACTCTGTAATGAAAAGAGATGCCATTATTTTAAGAGGTATGACACTTAAGGCTACTAACTTTTAATAATACCTGTACAATTAAGAGCGGGCACACACCTTTTACTAAACCATCGCAAAACTGCTGTGCGATTGTCGATTGTTTCGCAGTCCAATCAACTGTTTAGTTGCACAACTAAAAATCGGGGCGTGTGCTCTTCTCCATACAAGCTCACAGGAATCAAAGCGAGACTAAACAGTTGTGCGTGAGTTTAGTCAAAGAGTGCGCGCTCTAACTGTACAAAATGTATAGTCCAACCACGACATCTTGGTGGATTGTCAACACAGTGTTAAATGAAATAATTTGATTAGTTGATAGTACTCTTTGAATATTTTACTATATTTGAAATGTTTAATGATGTTTTATCGAACAATTCATTTATCAGACACGTTATAGTCGTAATAATATTGACGTTGTTAAATAAACAATCGGGCAAATTAAAATTGGTACTTACAATATTGGCAACACTAGCAGCGGGGAGGCGTAGAGCAAGGAATGCAGCCAGTGCTGACTACGGCCGACGTACACGTAGTAGTACAGTACAGCGAGCAGTACGTACAAGCCCACGGAGTACGCCATGACATAGCCGACCACTCGCCGGTGCGTTTGCTCCTTGCAGTGTCCATCTCGCTCGATGCTCTTTATGTTTGACTCCAACCGTTCGAGGATCTCTGATGTTGTTTTCTTACGCTGGAAAATATATTTTCATTAGGATCTACAAAGACATATTTTGGTAGTTAATATTAATTTGGAAGGTATTACATTTACATTGAAATATTTAGTCCCTGTTGTAGACTGTAATTTAAACTACTATTCTTGAAAACTAGCTGTTTGTAACCGCAGACTGTTACAAACCGCAGTATATTCGTATCATTGGCTAATCAGGATAAGTACGTAAACTTCGTTTTTTTTTTATTTTTTAAAATTTCTATTTTAATAGATTTACATCCGACGAAAATAATTTTGAATGCGTAATCGTCATCATTTTGGGCTATCCGATAGTTATCCAGTCGACTCCAGCCAAAACAAAAATATCACTAGACGTGATCTATTACGTAGGCCACCGTTAATAGACATTGCATTATCCACTGAAATAGAAAGATTGATTAACTTCAGATTACTATTTTGCAAACATGTGCTTTGAAAAACATCAAGCTGATTTATAACACGTATACCCTAATATCTACAACATTAGATATTACTGGAGAAGCGTTGTGGACCATTGAACGAAAACATTCATTTACTGAAAGACTTCACATTCTAACTTCAAATTTACGTATCGTCGGGTTTAACATCAGTGTCGTATCAGAACAATGTAGTCGTTTGTTTTTTTCCGTCATTTTATAGCCAACGTTAATTGAATTGGCTGCCCTACTGAATACGATAGGTAACTACTACATTGGAAACTGCATACAATTGGCATGAAACAACTAAATGTAAACAGGTGAATTGTTATTTCGTAACTCGTGCCTAAGAATATTCTATACAAATGTCGGTCGTCAACCTCTCACATATAATGATTGACGTAAATGTAACACAATTTATATAATTAAAATTACACCTGTCGCCTAGAGACTTAAGCAAAATTATTGATTTTAATTTTCACATTCTTATTCCCATCTATAAATACGCTACATGATGGTTTAGTTTTTAAATTCCGGGTCAATATAGCTCACTTCGGTATATTATAGGCTTGTTATATTTTGTTTTCATAACTAATACATGTTTAAATGAACATAAAGTTGTTAAGAAACTCGTGTTACCATGAATGTGGGTGAAAGAAGTTATATCTACTTTCTTTCATAATAATATCGGTACGACTTTCGTGCCTAAGTTATTCCTCGCAATCTACCTCGAAACCATCTGTTACATTTTCTGTCAATAGCCCGAGCTTTGCCCGAGCTGTCACAAACCCGACGATGTAATACACCAAAATTACAGGAATCTTTTCATAATGTTATAAAAAAATAGATTTACGCAGCATATCGGGCGTAAAGATTTGTTTTCTTATAAATTTTGTCGAAGACAAATATTTCTTTCACGAATTTTCGTGCTAGCTATAAATGTCCTCGAAATATTTCATCACATCATCAAAAGCAAAACGTCTTGTTGAAATTAATACAAAACTTGTCCCAAGTATTCAAGTAGCTTTAACAAGAATCTTCGTGAAACATAAAGAGTAAATCTAAGAATATACTGTATTTTAAATTTGGCGAAAACGAAAGTTCAGATGAAGAGAGTGTGACGAATCATTTTATTTTCAATGGTTTTAGTCTGTCATTCGAGATTGCACTTTTATGTTGAACAAATTGTTTATTTGTCAAAACGAAGTAAACATTATTACTTAGAGCGCAGTAACTTGCTTGAACACAACGCTTCTACAATTTGTGTAATATTTTATTGGCACTGAATGTTATTTATTCCAGTCAACTAAATGGAAAAATCTAGAAGAAAATATTTACGAACATACTAGTACAAATAAATTCGCCTTATGGGCAACAAAAATCATGAAATGAAACTTTCTTCCATGCACAATATTCAGTGTAAGGTGAAAGTATGCTAGGATAGAGATCTCGAGTGCAACGACCCATACAGGGCGGTATGAAAGACTTCATACATACCCACACAATATGGATATTAACCTCTAGAGGAACTGGTTTGTGGCCTACAGGACTTTCTAGTCAGTATAGTACTAATTTAGTTATTTTACGAATCGTTCATTATAACTTTTAACAGGGGCGCTAATTATACTTCATACTATTATTATAATTGTAAAAGTTTAGATGGATGGATGTTTGTTAGAGTCTGTAGCCTAAACTGCTGTACGGATATGGATGAAATTTGGTATAGATGCATAGTATAGTCTGGAAGAACACATAGGCTACTCACTTTTTTTTTTAATCTCAAGCGGACTGAGTCGTGGGCGAAAGCTAGTATTATAATAATATTTGACACGTGCTGTCGCCCCCATATTTCGTTAGCGCGGGAAATGGTCGTCTATAACATTACCGATCAGCTCTGACAACACCCCGTAAAAGTCGACTGCTGTAGTTTCGGAGATTACCCGAAACAAACGCTGTTTGTGGACAAACAGATAGAAAAAAATCGTTTTTCGTTATCAGCAACGCAAATACATCATCTTCGCAAAATCTGGATTTTTTATTCGTTACTACATATAGAGAGACTCCAATTTTTTTAACTGTATAGATAATTCGATTTCATAAGTGTTTGTTGTACTTAATAATGTTTTCTGCAGTGGGTGTCGTTCGAGAGTTTAACTTATGAAATTTGAATACAATACATTTCCTTGTGAATGATATTATCATCGTGACAATAGGTTATCGTATTAAAACGGTCGTATAATTTTTATACTAATATGCTTAATAAATAAAAATACACTATTCTCTTATTTAAGAAGTTTGCGAATTCTCACAAAACTTGCTAAATCGAGTATGCCATTATGGGAAATCGAAAACATTATTGGATCGCACCTTCCTCAAAATGTTGCCACACTTTTATTTTCATGATCTGGTAACGGACAATATAAACGGAAGCCGCGTAGAAAACTTCATATCAAGTTGTAAACATTGATTTGATTTGACGGCGGAGGAGACGCATAGGAAGGGGAAATATCCTGTTTATGTGCGTCTCTTCTTTCGTCGATTAAGCGTAGGCAACGCATCTGCAATCGCGGATGTCTATGGGCAACGGTCGCTTCATCAGTTAAGCGGATTCAGGTGGCAGTTTGCTCGTTTGCTACCTTACGATATATAAAAAAAAACAATCTACTACACCTCGCTTCTTAAAATCTCGATAAAAACTCATACGACCTTTTCCAGTCTAATTCTGCACTGACCTACATACACATACATCAGCCTTTGTAATAAAAATGTACGAATAAGATTCATTTCACAATACACAAAGCAACAAGAGTTGAGGTATTATTAACTGAGATGTACTTCTGTAGCAATTATTTTTCGCACATGTGGTAATACATTTTCATTGCCATATTCCTAATTTAAAAATGCAATGCAAATTGTTACCCAAAGAAGTTTCTAGACCGTTTTCCAAAATACTGTCCGAATTTAGTTTGAACCTAATTACCTACCCAGATTGTTAAATATCGAGTATTATGGTGCACTATTATTTAAGGTGTATTACAACATCTTATATCCATAATCTTGTATATTCAAAAGTAATCCGATACGAGATAAGCAAAACACTCGACACCCACAAATATCTCATATTCAGATAATAATAGACAAAACCAGATATTCAGTTTAAGGTCGCAGACAGTATTATTTCTATACATTATTACCGAAAACAAATATGCTTGTATATTTCGACATCGTGGGATAATATTACTAATAAAAAAAACTTATCGTTATTAGAATGTTTTTCGACTAACTTTCCTATCAAAATATTTGCGATAAACAAACAGAAGTCACTATGACTATAGCTTTTTGATCAAAATGTCGATTATTTAAATCGTCGTAAATATGCTTAAATGAAAAATAAGATTACACAATGTCGTAGGGTTTTCCACCAAGTATAGTAAAGTTCGGAACATCATTAGAAATCGTATAGACTAATGCAGTAATTCCAGCCCAGACCTTCCAGGGTTTACAGAGAACTGGTTAGGGGTGAACGATGGCGAGAAATAAGATTGACAAGTAGAAGAAATGTAGTATCAAAGGGTTCATCGAAATCACAAACACATCAACAGGGGTTTACTAGAATAAAATTTGGAGAACTGTACCATAGTAAGAAAATATTTTAGCTTACAAAAATTGTCAACCCTAACTGTTAGCTATTGATCGGTGGTTATAACCGTGCAGTTTGCAATCGAGCGCAGAGATAACTGCAAATAACTGTAATACGAGATGAACACTGGGATTACAGCAGTGGCTTGTTCGGCCAAGCGTGCATCCTAATAGAACACTTATGGTCAATAATAACCATGGAAGACAGCTTTTATAGCAAATAACAATTTGAGACAGATTGCAGAGAAAAGACGTGACAAAAATTAAACATAAAAAATTGGACCCATCTACAAGCACTACCTTTCGGATAAAAAGGATTTTTAAAATCGGTCCATCATTGCCGAAGATATCGCGTAACACACATAAAAAAATCAAACGAATTGAGTACCTCCTTCTTTTGGGAAGTTGGTCAAAAATATCTTCATCACCACCAGATCACCCACTCGTTCCCTATATCACTTACCTCAAGGGATTTTTTCGTGCTCTCTCACACTATTTTAATGGTTTGGATATACCAAAGGTGATAGATTACTACACAAACAGGAAACAGAAGGGTTCACGACAACCATACACAATATAGCCATTTTTTTGCAATTTCTATGACAAAGAACAATATTTAAGTAAAATTTAATGTCTGTGTCTTAGTTAGATTTCATGAACATTGTTCACTTTAGTATACCATTTCTAATTAATCACATTACTAAGGCTTACGTAATAACGTGATGATCAAATGCATAGAGCTTCAATGTTTTATATTGATTTATTTACATAATAGAGAATTGGTAACAATGGTTCTATATGTGTACAATCACCATTGAAAATTAAGAACACCTTCATAGATTACAATATAAATAATGACCACATTACTTATATTGTATACGAGCTATGGCCCGCAAACTCCGTTAGCGTAAATTTAGATCACCTGTTACGCTAATTCGATAGCGCGGAATTTTTAAAATAAGGAGCCAATAATATGCCCACCTATAACAGCTACCCTTGAGTGAAAGTCTAGTCGAAATCGGCCCAGTCGTTCCCTAGATTACTCGGAACAAACGAGGCTTGCGGACAGACAGACAAAAATATTTTAAATGCGATTATTTTTATCAGCAACGCAAATACATCATCTTCCCAAAATCTGGAATTTTTCTTTTGATATTACAAACAGGCACTTCAATTTTCTTATATGTATAGATAGATACCAGGTAGATACATAGTTAGATATAGAAGATATAGACATAGACTATTCAAGTTATTGTACAAGTAACATTTTCCCATAAGATTGTCCACATATTACAGACAGTAATCTATCCATATATAAATTTCTTGCCGATTCATTGAACCCATTTGCAGTTACATGCTTATGATTATCAATACATACAAATGTATAACCCTTAGCATTTATAATATTAGTAAAATAAAGAAATACTGTAAAACACATTCACAATTTTATAGCAAGTAGTAAAAATCAGCTGACATGATGGGAACAGATATAAAAAGTCTATAATCAAAACTAAAATTATTAATGATTCCTATGTATTTTTCACAATGCAGATGTTATTATAGATGATTACTTTCATTGGTATAAACAAAAACATTCATTGTTTTGGTTTTTCATTGTTGAGAGTTGCAAATAGTGACTATAGTCTACTTATATGTAAAGAAAAAACAAGCATGATCAATATGTCATATTGCTTTCATTAGAATTACATGACGGCTGATAGAGATGTATGGAAGAGCAGCACATACTGTGCCGACCGTCCATAAGGGATAAGGGCAAGTGGATGATGCTTTCATTAGAATTACAAGACAGTAACTATTGCTTGCATCTTTGTCTTTGTAATTAATTTAGCCCATGTTACTCACTGATAATATAGCTATTTAATGGTGAAAGATTTTTTTAAATCTGCCCAATAGTTTTTGAATTATTCACATATAAAAATACAAATCTTTCCTCTTTATAATATTAAGTACTAGCTGTTCCAGTGTGGCTTCATCCGCATGAAATGTCACAATTCAAATGCACAAATGACAATTGCTTCCTTGATGTTGGCAGTAACTTATGGTCTCTTTCCCACATTAGGATTTTTATCTAAAATATTTACCCCCAAAGTTTAATGGCGTGAAAATATATAGCCTAAAGTGTGACGTAAGTGTAGGGCTTATTATTAAAAAGGAACTATTCAAAAATATGAAGTGATTGCTGACATCTTAGGCAACAAAGAAGTGTGTGTTTAAGCTTTATTATAATAGTATAGATATATATTAAAGATCAAATAAAAATCATTTACTAATCTGATTAAGAACCAGTTTTATTATCGGGTAAATAGCATTAACAATATTTAAAATGATTTAATTTTGACTTTAAATGTTTAATGCATATCTTATGTATTAAAACTTCATTTTTACAAAGCATGTTTGTAGACAGTTACTATTAAAATACAATATCATTAAGCAAAATTTATTCTTACTTTAGAAGCCAGCATTTTGTGACCTCTAACTCATTCTAATAGGATTATTTCGTGAATTATTACCTATTAAGTTAAGACATAACAGAAATCGCTAAAGAATGTACACAACAAAATAAAAAAATTGGCAAACAGGACAGTGACTTTAAGCTTAAAATTTATTTTTGTTAACATTTAACTTTTACTAATCGCAAATTTTGATTAGAAAGTTAAATTTTTTACATGGTCAGCGCGAAATAATCGTAGTGAAGGTATTACAGAATGGTATGCAGTTGTGGTTACACTTTCTATAATTCTGCTCTATAATTATATTAGATCGGATAGAAGTGAATTGAATTCACGCCAAATCAAAGTAGGAAAATCAACTATCAAAATAGTTTTGGCTACGTTACAAAATAAATCCTCTAATACTCACTCGAAGTTTTGATAAAATCAGCCCCATTTTGCTTCAAAATATCTTCTGTCGTAACTACAAATTGTCAAGCACCAAAAACACTTTACAATTTTTGTTCTATCAGTAGAAAGAAATGTTTGTCGATACAGAAAAACGCAAATTGATGACGAATTGAATTCAGTTCATAACCTGCAATAAGACGCCGACAACGGCACAAGCATTTTAAACAAGAAACCAAGCTTTAAAGGTTCATGCAGTCACTTTTTAATTACATGTCCATAAGAATAAAATACTTTTGTCACCCAAAATTTTACATTGAAATACGAAACAAATAAATAACGAACAAGCAGTCCGTTTACACATCCGTCACTCACTGAAACATTTACCACAGATAAAAATAAAATGTATCGTGATGTGACGTGAAGTTGGTGAGCATTGTTACTTAGTCGAATCGTTTATCATAAGTCGAATTTTTTACTCGATCTTGAAACGATTTTTAAATTTTTACATTTATAGCAATGAATTTATCGAAAACGTGTCTCCATTAGACAGAAGGCTATTTATTCGTATTCGTATCTGCTGGATTCTATTGTTTGCGATCAAGTTTAAGATATGTTGTTTTTCAACCAACTCTCTTCAAATCATAATCGGGTGAGATCCAGAGAATGTAATATTACTACTTACTAGTTTGCATCGGTTTGTTTACTCCGATTATATCTTTACGTCATAACTGTCTTTCCTACACTTATTTATTTGGAGTCATACGTCAATTCATTGTTTATAACTTTCAGACCATGACAATGATACTTATCCCGCCACGCATCAATAATGCTTACAGGTACAAGGTTGCAGGTGAATACATTGATACACTTGTACACGCTTTATTCATAGAACAATGGGTTACTCCAAAGTTTAAAAAAGTAATAATGAAAAAACACAATACAGAAAAATAATTTATTTAGTGTAAATACAAAAGTGTTAGCTTGTTAACATCGCTTCCAATCGCTAGTATAACAACTTAAAGTGTTAACATCAGCTGATTCTGTGCCAATCTGCCTACCATCAGAGTCAACGCAGCGGCATTGTCCCCGGCGGCATTGTATCTTCCTGAAGTTGCCGTTCTTGCAACAGACAGGCTTTTCGTTTGATTGTGTCATAAGAAAAGACGTTTTCGCACATTCTGTAAAAATAGCAAATTAGAGTAACTGTTCTACTAACCATTATAACTGTACTTCGACCTCGATTAAAGGTTTTTAAGAACTTAAATTCAATTGCTTGCAGTTAAAAATGCCACTTCGAAATGACCATCTCTCGATATTAAATTAATAAAGACAACTTACTGCAATCCATATTTATGTAGTTCTCTGTATATGGTTCAACCTCGTAACCTTCTATCTTTTGTCCACGGTCGTCTACACATATTCTTCTGAAAATATAAAATATTAAATAGGTTTATAAACAACTTCGAATAAGGGCACATTAATGATATTTATCCTCCCCTTAGGGCTTGAAAAGATTTGACGACGCCCATGACTAATTTGTCCCAATATGATTATAATTGTTAATACTAACGTTCCATTCCTAGTGTTCAAGACTCTTCCGTGAGTCCCATCTGGCATACATTCAGATACAGTTGTGAAGAAATCAGTAATAAAGCCATTTTCTTCAGCCTGGATGATGATATCTATTTTCGCTTGCATGATTTCGTAGCAAGGAGTTGTGTAATTATACGGTGGTTTGCCCTCACTTTGATTTGGGAACAGATCCAATTCGGCATTGTCTAGAAATTTTTAAACAGCATTTTATTATCGCAACGTTTGATTATATATATGATTTGACAACGTTTGATTATATATATATGATTGTTACGATTCAACCGTCTGACTCGACTTTCGTTCGAGTAATAACTCTACTAATCTGTCAACTAACCACGTAGTATAATGCAAGTCAATTTTTATCTGATTACATCACCATGAATTAATGATGGTGATGTGATCAGATAAAAATTGACGTTCTTCAGTTATTGTGAATTACTGCAATATAACTCAATTGAAATTATTACTTACAACAAGATAATTTCGATATTGGCTCTTTGTCCAAATTGATAGATTTTTCATCACGTATTTTTCCAGTGATTCTGTTTACGCAGTAGCAAGTCCTGCCGATGCACTGAACTGGATGGAAGTTACCATCGGCGGTGCATCTCGGACCAATAACTGGGAACCGTACTCCAGGCGATATTGACTTCTTTATTTTGTAATTTAAACGGGAACAACCTGTAATATAAATATAGGCACACTGTGGAATAAAAAAATAAAAAATCTATTAAGAATCAACTATTAGCATAAATGATCCCTAACCTAAAAGTGGCGATTGACGCTTTGTAATATTCAAAAGGCCTTCTAATTAGCCTTGCATTTGACTTTTCTTTGTTTAAAAAATATATTTACCGCAATGCATATTTTGCATGGTAGTTGCACCCAAATTGAGTCTTTCTCCGAAAATTCTCTCACCATCTTCAGATTGACAGAAACAGCTGTAACAATTAAGGTGTTTATGTTATGTTAAAATATATTGTTAAAATTATTTAGTGTATCGAAATTAACATTTTTTTATTTTTACCTTAGGCCATTATATTTTTTATATTCTACGACAGTTTTAACTTACGTATGAGCAGGTACGCAATGAAAGGCGGCGTAGTTTCCCTTGCCGTCGCAAAGAGGGCGCTGCTCCAACGCACCCGTCTCTCCTCGCAAGTGCCTCGCGTCGTACTCGTCTTGTGCGGTATGACATTTTGAACTCACTGAAAATTGAAAACTGTACTTGGTTACAAATCAATCTATCAAGACATATTATTCTTTGGTGTTAGCAATCTACAGACAAATCCTGCTATGCTACCGTATTGAACCAGAATGTCGTCTAAAGGATGGAAATGGATAGTCAGCAGTGAAGGTATTAAAGTTTAAACGTACTTCTTACACAGGTAAGTTCCTGCGGGTCACATGTCAGTCCGTGGCCGCATCTGCCAACAGTGACCCCCGTGCCTGGACCGCCTGCGCTGCAGTGCGACTCTTTGCCTGAAATAATTATACAGATGTTTATGCGGGATCCTAATAAATCTTCTCTGTCGATCTATGAGTAATATCAGTCGCCATTCCCATTTTAATAATGTTAATGCAAGTAATAGACCTTCTCCTAAGTCAACTCTTGTCTTGATACATTGTATTTAATGCAATGCTATATATATAATAACATTTTTAGAGGCGGAAAACTATTTCTATATCCCAAAAATTAAACATAGTTACCATAAAAAGGCAAGCAGTATTCACAACAGTTGCATATTGTAGGTGAGGGCATCCATAAGCCCGTATGCGTCGCGTTGTTTATCCGGCATTCGTGCGCCGGTGTCGAACACCCTTCTTTGAACCTCTGAGCCTAAAGATTACAGTAAAGCGATGATATGGATGTTTTACTATATTTATTTTATTTTGAAGATTTTCTTCGATTACTTCAGTCTAATTTTATTCAGATTTCAAATAAACAACGCCTGTCGAAAATGTTTCGGCAATTCTTTTTGTTTACATTTTGCGTTGCAACCTTATAATAAAGCTTAAAAGGTAGCACAAAAGTATGGCTTGGTGATTTATTATCTGTGTTGATATTTATACAATTATTTTATGCACCAAATCTCTTTTGTAAAAAATTTAAATTGAGTAAAACTAACAAAACAATTTTATCTGCTTTCAACCATAATGTGTCGCAGTAAACATTGAATTCATAGAATGGTAAAGTACTCACTCTGCAAAATCCCTCTTCACACAAAATACTTGTACAATCAACTTGGTATAACACTAAACAAACAAACAAAAGTTTCACAAATTCCATACTGTACGCGTCAGCATTTCGCTACACTATAAATGAAACAATAAACGTATCAATTTAATAAAATAATTACTATCTGTTCGATCGATTATCTAGGCCCCTATTATAATCTAATCGATATAAATTTTATTCGACCTATTACTGCTATAGTAAGTAGTTTATTTTTAAAAGTTGCACCACTATAGTTATTTAATAGCTATCCATATGTTTACTAATGTAATAAACCTTATATCATATCCGCGGAAATAAAACCAGATTTATGCAAAAAAGAAATAAAGTGATATATTCTGAATTCATGTGAGAATAAGTACTACACATTACGAATGCTTTGAGAATACCCACCTGTATGATACATTCGTAGAAAGATAAATATCGAAAGATAAGTTATGACAAGTGATTGTTATTGGTTGGTGCATTAAATCAAAGCATACATCCAAGAATGAATCAACTATACTGCACTTTATTGTTACTAATTAATTGTTTACTATTTAGCTTAACTGGATTAGATACGTCGGTTGATGAAAAAAAAAACGAGACAATTAATTAATATTTATTTATTTAATAATAAATGTTCAAAAGTCACACACCTATCATACATTTCCGTTACTTACTAAAAAATTTAAGCGCTGTAGTTTTTATTTAGTTCCAATTTATGTTAAAACCTTCGTTGTTATCTTTAAATTAAAAATTTACAATATAAAAGCATAGTTAAGTAAATAGATTTACAGTGGTTAAGCCCGCTTTTACATCTTCGCACGAATGGGCAGCTCGCCCGGTGCAATACCACGACCACACAGGAGACAGGCGTGAAGTGGAAGCAAAGCGTTTCGTCTGATGAGTGTGGTACCGGAGGCCCAACTTTAGTTCCTTTTCCTTCCCATTCTATTCTTATACGAAAAGTATGGAAAGAAAACGTTGATTTGATGGTGCAGGAGACGCATAGGAGGGCAAAAGATCTTTTTTATATGTGTCTCCTCCTCCGTCGAAGGGTAGGCAACGCATCCGCTTTTGCGAATGTCTATGGGCAGCGGTCGCTTGTTCGTTTGCCAACTTATGATGTAAAAAAGTTTTGATAAAAATATTTATAAACTTTACAAATATTTGTTCCATATGTAGGAGATTTCAGTTTCCTATTGCTTGTACTTATCGACGTTATCACAAGCTTGTAGATCTCGTTACGTTATCGTTGCGATAAAGATGTATGCTCGAGCACTAACTGTACAAGATTGGGTAAAGTAGATGAGGTCTTGTTTACAGTGGGATTTTGTTTTAGCGGAATATTACTCTCATTAGCTTATAGTCTGGAATATTCCTTAATTAACTGACACAATTACGATTAAAATTACTCCTTTCCCGGTCCTTTAGTAACACGCTTAGTAAACTTAGACGAAAGTAAGTGTGGCTGTACGTCATTTAAAAGTGGTAGAGATCTCACAGAAGACAGACGTGAAGTGGAAGCAATTCCTCAATTTTGTCTAAAGAGAATGCAGCTGCCGTTTCGATATTAAGGCGAACTTAGGTGGCCGCTTGTTTGTATGTCTACTTATACTATTTAAAAAACTACGTACAAACTGTTTCTACTAGTAATTAGTCACCAATAAGGAGTAATTCTTAAAAAAATCTTACTTATATTACAAATGCGAAAGATAGATGTTTGTTAGAGTTTGTAGCCTAAACTGCTGAACGGATCTTGATGTAATTTGGCATAAATGTAGAGGTTAGTCTGGAAGAACACTTAAGCACTTTTGATTTTCATAATTCTACACGGACGGAGTTTTGGGCGAAAGCAAGTAATAAATCTACCTGAGTGTGACATTCATGACACACTGGGGAGAATAACATGAACCGAAAGATATTGCAACATCCAAAAATCTACCAACCAGCTGTGTTCCAGCGTTGTTGATTAAGGCCTAGTAACTAGGCCTTAAAAGCCTTAGGGTTTAGGATAGGCTGCGAGCCCCTCAGTAGGGACATTTAATGATAATGAGTAAATACTTATCTAATTCATGTTATATTTATAATTATACGTAAAGCGAGGGTTTTATTAAAATTATTTAAGATGAATACGAAGGCGTTGTTTCAAAGATAACATTAAGATATGCGATTGACACTATCGCTGTAAACAAACTCGGAACAAATTTTCATGCAAACAAAGTACGCTAGAACAATCGCATATTACATACAATAAGTGATTATAACTACAATTTATAACAAGCAATAAATCTTGTAAAACTCACCTATTAGTGCTGGAATTAAAACAAGATTGGTAGAATTATCGGTCTCAAATTATATTGGTTTTAAATAGCTTTTAATGTATACTTCTATCTATACTAATATTATAAAGAGGAAAGATTTGTATTTTTGTGTGGATAGATATAATTCAAAAACTAATGGGCCAATTTTAAAATTCTTTCCCCGTTTGAAAGCTAATTTATCTGTGAGTCTGTGAGTAACATATGCTATATTTTTTTTTAATTGCACGCGGGTGATGTCATCAGATAGTCTATGATATTTTTAGTCTGTACAACGCAAATTAGGTTTATTATAATTAATTGGATTCGATATAAAAACGATATTAATAAAAGTATTACAATGATTTAAATATTGAAATTAAATGCGACAGTATAATTTTTTTTTCTTAATGCTTCAAAGAAACAAACATGACTGCTATCAGATTACCAAATCAATTACTACAGTTGGTGAAAATTAAAATAGATATCTTCATAACTTCGTAGTCCATTGCGGTAAACTTTAGTGCGTCTTCACAATGTGTTAAACGAATCCCGCAATGTACAGCGTCTGTTGAACCAGCATCCGTTCATAAAGAGAGCAACTCCATGACAGTGTTTACTATCAATACTGTCGACGGATAGCTCTCTTCATTAACAGATTATAGGTTGCTTCGTACTCGTACATCTGGAAATTACAATATTATATTGAGATTGTGTCTGTACTTAGTAACAGTTACTTTTTTATATTAACTATCGAACTAACTAGCGAACGAATATCTAAATTCGCCGAAAGGTGAAGTGACCACTGCCCATAGACAATTTCAATGCTCCGCAATTTCAGATGAGTAGCCTGGCCTTAATTGACAGAGAAATAGATAAAGAGGATATTTACCCCTTCAAATTTAATTTTCCTTCCCTTCCTTATAAGAAAATGCTGGAAAGGGACTATGAGGCTTCCGACACCCACTCATCGGACTAACCGCGAAATTACTTATTTAAAAGCGACTTACATGAAAAACCTAATTGAGTTTCATCTTATACTAATAAAAAGTCAGATTTTGTTAAGATCTAGAACTTAGTTTCAGTATAACGAAAGGATAAAATGGATACGCTAGAAATATTTATACCGAAATATGACTGATATTTATATGTTTAATATTAATTTAACTGTTTTAAAGCGTTAATATATTATATGTTAAACATTTAGTTTAATAAAAAAATCACGATCTTTCACAACACAAGGATAGCCTTCTTTAGTAAATTAAGATGTACAATACAATGCACAAAGGATAATGAACAACGTTTAAATGATATCGGGCTATTTATACATAGTCAAATATATTTGACATGTCCATACAGTGCTAATATGTGGGTATGCGGTAAAAAGTTATATGCAATAGTGTTACCAGCCTACACTATGACATTTAGGGAAGGCGGGAGTCCTCGGCAAGTGTCAATTGGTTCAGCACGACTTGACGCCATGTTTGAACGTTTTACATTGTCGCCACTGTTTGTTGAACGCTGAGCGCTTGAGACAGATCTAACGGGCCGCTTTACACTAACGGGATACTACGGTATTTATCAAAACTTGCTAATTATAAAGACATACAGAATATTAAAGTTATTTCAACATGTTATAAATTTTCGAAATAATGTAAAATAACATTACAACACAAAGCACCTCTTAGTCTACCGAGCTTAGTCATCTCTTACAACTTTTAAGATATTGGACTGTAAAGAAGGTAAGCCCTTCTAACAAATGAATCGATGACTTCGTAAAAATGAAAAGAAATGATTTACATATTCATGTTTTGTAACTTATAAGGGTATTACTATAAAAAATGTAGACAGTGCTCAAATACATTGTAACATAAATTACGTAAATAGCGTCTTGCGCGACTTTTTGACAAATCATGGCAAGTTACAATAGGTGTTGTTTTTTTATAAAATTGACCAATACTAGTTTAATGTGACTAACAGTTTCCGAGGCTAGTTCACTCACACGAAGTTCAATTATCGAGATGTTCCTAAACATGTGAACTGAACTCTCACGATACCCGACTAATTTGATTGTCGGGAGTTGCTCAAGGCAATACACGGGACCACTACTACATTTTACAAATTTTCGATGTGCGATTTTCGAATTTCATAATTTCCAAATTCGAGAAACAATGGTATGGAAATTTTCAATCTACAGATAATCGATCAAATTAAACTCAAATGGTGTGTCGCACTCAGAAAACAAAGTTATTAAATTCCCTGAAATGTCATGAATGGAACAGATGACAGGGTTAACGATATAATGTTTGCTTTTTTATAGCGAATGCATACAGAAGGTAGCTTTTTTCCCCTACGAAAAATAAAAAAAAAACAGTTTTTAAAATTCCATATGCATACAAAATGTATTTAAAATAGGTCGCGCGTTGCATCACGTCGCCTCCAAGTTACGTCGGACAATCGGAACAAACAGCTCGACCAACAATGGTGTACAACAATATGCATGCTAATGGGCCAAGTTTTAAGACAATTCGTAATGTGTCAAGCGAGATTTCTAAGGCATTTACGTTTGAATAGCACTAGGACGGGGCTAGAGCTAGCCGTTTGTTCTCGAAACCTGCAGGAATCGGACAGAGAAACTAAGGTCTCAAACTCGCTATTAATTATTCATACTTAGTGTAAGATAAGCATTCAAAAGTACAATGAAATTTCAAAGCGGAGAGGAAACTTTCGCAAACTTTCATAACTTTAATATCGTATGATACCGTAAACTGTAAACCCTTGGAATAAAGGACACTCGTGATTGTTTTACTGTATTCAGTCTGCTTTTTTTAATTAGTTATTTTATTTGGTCCTACATATAACATACATTGTGCTGCGTATGTACAAAGTATCATTTTCATT